AAAATTTAATTTTCTCATGGTTTAGCGTTGATGCAGAAGTTTTCGGGTCCAAATGTGATCGTGAACGCTTTATCAACAAACCAAACCATAACCCCATCGTGGGCCCGCTAAGACAGCAAAAAGCATATTCCTAGAAAAATAGGGATTTTTCTTGAAACTTGTGGAGTCAGAAGAGTCAACTAATAAGTTTTGCTTGGGCATTTATAATTATTTCACTTCAACATAGACAGAAACATGCCAGTAAGTTGAAAAATAGTAGCTCTCCTGTCGCGACCCCGCGTCGTCTGCTGTTGTCTTTACCGCACTCTTCCCCTCCGCTGCCCCTGTCCTTACCGCACCCTTCCCCTCCACCACCCTCCAGCCTACCCCCACCCATGGATACTGCCGAGCATCGTCGAAAGCAACGGACTCAGATAGCCAGTTTTAAAAAGTTATTTACATTAAATTTATCGATGACAATTGCACTTTAAGCTGCGAGTGCCCCAGCATTCATCTTCTCTGAACTAGGAAATCCCGGTGGCATTGAAATCCAAGCAACCAATTTTCATGTAATCGTTCCGTTATTGCGGCCTGTAAAACCCCGCTGAGACCCTTTCCTATCCCTCTCAACTCTAGATCTCCTGGTCTGGTCTGCTCACCCTGCTCATTGTCTGCTATTGTTTATTACGTGATAGATGACTCTACGGGTCCGATTCCAGATTTTCTGTCGCACTTAAAATGGCTCGAAGTCAAACTGATTTCTGTTGAAATAAGCTGTGTTAATTTTGGAGTTGAGACAATTCCTTTTGTTAAAAAGAATCAATCATATGTTTAAATTTTTTTAAGGTATGAAAAATTTACGTTTTACCGCACTTGCGAGAGCTGTCATACATAGTAATGTTATTTAAAAAAAATACATGACATTGTTTTTGCTCTGTATATAAAGAACAAGAAAGGTTAAGAACGCATAGTGCATTAAACTTTTTTTAAAAAACAAAACTGTTATTAATTGTTGTTATGTAATATGAAAAATTTGTTCGCCCCACGCGCATTACATTTGTTTATTTACATCCCCGCAGCTCCGTGAAATTTTGTCAATATTCATCAAAATGGATATTGGAATGGTCCCTGATGAGGTTGATGCAAGGACTAGCAACGTTGAGGCTGCAAACCTTCCTGACTTTGACAAACTGAAAGGAGATGCCATCGGGAGCACTTTATACAGTGAAAGTGCTTTACTTAAAACATTGATGACCTTATCGAAGGTATGACATTTCTCTTACTTTTTCTGTTTTGTTGCATTCATTTTGTGGATGATCCATGCAACTGTTCTAATTTCAGGAAACTGGTGATAATTGGTCAGAGCAGATGGAGGAGCAGCTTTGCTCTCTGTGGGACATGACATTTGAAGAAGATGTGATAACCCTTCTCATGCAACATGATTTTGTTCATCTTGCCTGCCATGTTATTCAAGTTACGTCGGAACCCAGACTCATTGTTCGTATATTAAAGCAATGGTTGAATTTTATTATTTTTGGTAACTTGTTCACCATTAATCAGATTTTGTTTTAGGAGATACTTGTTGGGGTATTAGGAAACATGACAGCTCTGAAGAGCGCTCGTCAGAGTTTGTCTCAATCAAGCACAGCAGAGCAGTTGCTTTCATTGCTTTCATCTTCTGACACACCTACCTTACTACAGCTTGTTCGCCTTCTGAATTCTTGTGTGTGGCATGTCAATAGAATTTCCCACTCATCTGACGGACAGGATGAAGATGAGCACTCAGAATCACAGTCTGAAGTTGATGTGTGGGTTGAACTCCTGAAAAACTCTGCAATGTCTCTTAATGAGAACTTATCTTTCATTCTGAGGAGCTCCACAAATGGTATATCCTCCTTCAACCTTTTCCAACTTTTATAAAATTGTTCTTTTATCAATGTTTTCAAGTTTGGAATTTGTTTCTATAGAAGAGCTTTTGCAATCAACATTGGAACTTCTTAACAACCTGTGTTGCATCACATCAAAAAATCAATATTTCAGCGCATTTCTTTCTACCTCAGGTACTGATTATTTTTATTTTATATATAATAATATTTCTTGGATTTCTAATTATGTTTCCCTGCTAAAGTTATGTTGCAGGGTTTGAATGAGGCTCTTCATCAGTTACTCAATGTTGGTAGCAGTCTTAGTGACACAAACAACATAGTATGGGAGGATAAAATTGAAAAAGCAGCTCAACACTGGTCCCAAACTTTGAGTACTTTCACATTACATGAGACAGGCATTGTTCTCCTGAGTAAGTGTCTTGTCTTGTCATTTCCCACTTTTTAACTTTTAAAGCTGAATATATAAGTACAAGTGTGTTTACCCAACAGACGACCAAAGACAAATCATCATGAGAAGCTTGTGCTGCATTCTTGACCCTCTCTGCTCACAAGAAAACATGTTCCCATTGAACTCTGTTAAATTAGAAGTCTTGGATTCCCTTGTTGATATTCTCGAGTGTCTTAAAAATAAACGCAGTTACTGTCCACCTGCCATCCTTCCAAGACTGCTGACCATACTTTCTCTTATATCACCTGTTAAAGAATATGATGGTAATGGTGAATCATTTTTAATTAAATTTTATCCCTTCATATATAGTTTATTGTTATAACAGTAATTTTTCTTTCCCTACAGGAGAAACTGAATGGAGGGGAATGGAGAATGAAGAAGATTCAAAAAAACATTCAGAAATACTAAGAAGACTGCATAATTATTGTTCATCTGTGTTAAGTGAAATTGAAACACCACAGTTTTTGGAGGGTTTTGGAGATGATTCATTTTCTAAGGCTAAAAAATTGTTATCCAACTTACTGAAATGTTCAGATAGTAATGTAGGTAGAATTGTAGATATAATTAAAAGGCATCTGAAATAACAATTGGTTAAATAAATCAACTTAAATAAAAATATTTTCTCCAGCCCATGTGCTATTGTATGTATAAAAATTACCATCACTCATTCCTTACACATCAAGATCTAATGACTTATTCTCATTGTATGTTGTTGGTGGGGTCAGGTCAGGGTCTAAAGTTCACCAGCCATTTAATTCAAAGGGTCCACCCATAAACTAGATGAGATAGTGAGCAGGAACCAAAGTCCAGAAATAAGAAAATATTTTGATTTACTTGCTGGTAGCACTTAAAGTCTTAGATACCAAAATTTAAGCTAGTCAAGAATTTTCTCCCAGTCCTGGAAGTAATTTATGGGTAGCCCCTTGTTTATTATCAGAAGTGTTGACGACCATGGTGACCAGATTAAACAGTTTGATGTGCGCAGCTGAACAAAGTATCCAGCACATAAGTCTGTCAAGATGCTGAAAACAATACTTGCAACTTTAATTCTGTTCATCGCAATACATTCTCAAGATTATGTATCAGGTTTGAGTTTTAGAATTATTGTAGTAATTTCTTGAACTATCATTTAATATGCAACTATTTATATTTTTTCAAAATTTTACGTAAGTTAGTTCAGTTTGAGAGGGTGCCGTATTTGCTTGACAGCCTTCTCTCTAAGTTTGAGTTAAGGACTGAAAATAGATGCTGAATAAAAGCAATATTTGAAGTATCCTAACAGATAACAATTTTCCCTAAATTTGAATTGCTTTACGTAACCGTTCATCTGTTCAAATCGGGTTCAAACGCTTGTATTTGTGGCCCTGAGCTCAATGAGACGCTGATGATATTGCACAACCTGAAACTGAAATAATTTGTATATGGAAGTTTTGCTCTCAAAACACTGGCCATTTTTCAACATTCCACAGGATCGCATCCACTAGTGATGCAGGGCATTGCAAAGGAAGTGGAAAAAATTGAATCGTTTGCTCAAAAGGCTGCAAATCATTGTCAGTGTGTTGAATACAATTGTGGTTGTTGTGCACATATTGTTGAAAAGGAAATCAGACTTGACAGCACAAGTAGGTTACATTACATCTTACATTTGAGAATTTTCAAATAAAAACTGTGCACATTGTATGGTTAAATTTCTTTTTCAGTCTGTACAAATGCAACATACCTGAAACGGGATTATGGTTTTTCATTAACCGTGACATTCAATAAATTCACTGTGTTTAATGAAACCATGTCATGTGAGTACCTCTCACTGTGCATGTATGTTTTCAAATTCCTCCCCTGAAATCTTATGGTTGTTGACTTGTTTTACAGTGCGAAATCCTCCTCCTATTTGTATGGGGGCACCTTTTGTGAAAGAGTTAGCAGAGATCTGTGTTCGTATTTATGACATAAAAGCATCCTCTGCTCATCTCCATGCATGTGTTGAAATGGAAGCACAAATGAAGCACATTCATATTGCAAAATACGAACTTGGTTGCTTTGACATGAAAGGGCAAAACCTTAAAGTTGCTTTGGAGCAGTTAGAGAATGAAATTTTGTGATTCAAGAATTGGATTTTAAAGGGTAAAATGATAATAAATAAATGTTGTAATAAATGAAACATATATTATACACAATTAAAAACTGAGAAGCTGCCTAAAAAATGACAATATTACTAGATCAAAATTTCAAATACAAATACATTATAAAATGATCACAACGCCAGTTCCCATCGTGAATACTGATGATCAAATACACAGAAACATAAGAGACATGTTAAAAGACAATGAAGAGTACAAGTAGAGTTCAGTCGATTCCGATTCCGTTAAAAAATGTTTAATTCTCACGGAGATGGGTAATCATATGAAAAAGTACTCTTATATGCAGAGCATTATTAAAACAGTATTGGAGATGATTAAATGAGATATAATGTTAGCCAGATGATGCCTATCCTTTGTACAGTAATAAATCAAAATTGCTTAAGTAATTTCCAATAATAATTTTTTTGATGGGTATCTCACTACTTGTTATGGAATTCAGCCAAGCACAACCTACAACTCCAAGAGCCCTCGGGCGGAGATGTAAGTGGCGGTGAAAGACAGTACATATGGTAACCGCGATCACAGTCATCACAAAACAGCAATTGATCCTGTAGATAGAATTAAGTGATAAGCAAAGATAATCCCTACGATAAAATCTTAATTGATAATAAAAAAATACTTACATCATTATCGGAATTACCACAAATAGAGCAGCATTTACATTCAATGCATTGCCACCTGTACTTTCGGTAGGAAATAATCATGTTGGCAGTAAACTGCAAGCACGATGGGTGCCCTGAAAATTTTCGGTTCATATTTTAGAATTGAGCATTTTAATTTCCAAATTTGCTATGGTTGATAAAAGTAAATACCATACCTGAGCGTCCACAATCAGCACATGATACAAGCACTTCAGGAGCTCCAGATTTCTTGTTTTCACTTGCATCACCCAGACAGAAATCACAGTAGGGTGATGGGTTTGCTTTGGGCCGACGGTCTTCTGGTGCCAGCCCTCCCAGCTGTTTTTGTTTTTGTTTTTAAAAGATTGAGAAAAAAAAACAGTCAGTTACTATTATTTGAAATTCATATTCTCATATACTCTAGGAAAAATTCAAACCAAACCAAATCTAGTCAAAACTGAAATTTTGTTCAATGTGGAGCCCACTACAAATCAAGACTGTAAAGTGATAATGACAACTAAAAACAAGTCAACAGAGTATTAAGTACAATATAGAAGAGATTAAGCTAGTAGCAGAACCTTTCCATTCCTCTACCAGTACTTGTTTATATCTAGCACACTATTATCCATGCATTGTGGGAGAAAGAGAAGCAAATTATAAGTGAATCAATCAATTCGTGCAATGCTACATATTCTAATGTTTTCTAAAATAATACAGAACGAAAATCTTAAGAAACTGAAATGTTATTTGCACAGTAAGAAATAAAGAGTGCAAACAAGAAAGCATTGGTCAGTACGCACCAAAGAGACAAAAGAAAAACAGAGCACACAGAGTGGAAAAATGGTGAGCAGCTATGATTGATTTAAAGTATCCATCACCATCATGCGTGAAGAATGTATCTCGTGAGACTGCTCTTCTCCATTTCCCATCCTCTTATAATTATTTACCAATTACTTTTAAAACAAAATGAGTTGTGCTATGGGAGTCTTGGGTGTTGGTGTTGGAAAAAAGTAATTGAACAAAATCAGTTTCCACCAAAAAAGCTTCAATGAAAATGTCAATTGTGACAAAAGCAATATTCATCAATATGCAACTGATGAAGGGCCATATAGCTGCAAGACTTCAATACAAGAGATGCTACGTCCCTTTTTCATAAAGTTTCTTTGATCACAGACCAGAAAATGAAAGGTTACAGTAGTTAAGAAGGTTTCCATTTAATTAGAGTAACAGACTCTAGTTTAACCTAGTTTTGACATCTCATGGAGTGTTTTAAGTAGGTGTAAATGTCTCATGTACAGATGGCAAAGTGACCCAACATTTAACCCAACACAGACAATACAAAGGAAGTCACAACTGTCACCCACAATTGTGTCAGCTTCATCTTTACTGGTATTAAAGTAGAGGGCTCCACATTTTCAAATTTAAGCAACTTAACTGTCTTACAGCAGGAAAAAAAAAGTATGTTAGATATATAAAGAACAAACCACTGCACAAACAGATGTTTTGATAAAAATGTTGCTTCCTAGAGTTAAATTTGAGTGCTACTAATGAAACATGTCTATAACAACTTTTAGATACAAAGTAATAACAATTAATAATAGCAAAGAAGGCAAACAAAAGATTAAGGAACCAGGCAAGCAGTTAGAAAGTAATAAGAGAACAACAATATGATACTTTGTAAAAATAGTTGTGTTAAGAAAAGATCTTTGTTTGCCGCCAATGCTTAAATAAAACAGGGGCGAGTGTACTGTAGTGGCCTTTTTAATTTCCATAAGAAAGGCAGTCGTAAATTTTAAGAGCATGAGGAATTCCTCCATATAAGACATTTAACATCAGAGTCCACTTTCTATGAAAAACATCTTTCATAAGTTAGATGGGAAGGTGCCAAACAGTACCCTGTACCCTAAACATAAGTTGGGCCCATGCAAAACAGAAAAGTTAGACTTGGCATGAGGAATTAAAGTCAAAGAATTCTGAAACATGAGCAAAAGCAAAACTTCAATAAGAAAATATCTTCACTGTTTTCCATGGGACCACCAAACACTTGTGATCACAATCAACAGCAAGGCCTACTCACAAACTGCAGATCAAGCTGCCAGCCCACTCCAGAAGCCCACTAGGCTACCTCGATCAGCAGAACATTGCTAAGCCTCTTTGGTTGACATCGAGTTCTTCTTTGGCATTGCAGTTCAGTGCTATCACTTGTCAAATGTTGCTCTTATCAGACTTCTGAGTTGTCTCACTAATAACATTTACTTTAGAAACATTTAAAATTGATTAACAAATATTACATATTTTATCATTAAATACATAAGAGTTATAAGTAGAATAAATAATGACAGGATTAAGATTGATCAAACAGTAATCACATGTAAAAATAATATAAATACAGAAAAATATATTTACGATAACAAAATTGAAAGCGTTGGTTCAAAGTCCTGAAGTATCACTTTCTTAGTGTAAAAAAACACTTAACACAGTGTACATATAGTACAAAAAATGTCACAGCGCTTATAAGGAACTAACAAAGTCTTGGTGCCTCTACCAATCATATTGTTTTATGGAAATAAACCAGAAACCACATACTTCTTTTTTCACAGATTAAAATAGACTAGTAAACTACTATCAAAACTGACGGCCGAGTCGGGGTCATCTTCGTGCTGAGAACTGCACAAACAAAAGGTATCCAACATTACTGAACTGCTGCATCATGAAAATGGAGCTACATTTGACTATACGAAGCTCTCAGGGAAAAGAAATTATCAGATGCATAATGCTCGTCTCAAATGTGGCACCAGATGCAAAATGAAACCCTTAGATAGATATTTATTTACATATCATGTGTTGCATGATACTGTAATCAGCAAATACAAGAGCAATTCAAGAAAATTTAGCAATTTCATTTGAAGTGTTTGTGACATTTCCGCTGCATGCGCACATGAAACCATATAGAGTGCAGTTTCTTAAAATTTCCCATACATTGCATAACAGGTACATAAACCATACACAAGTATGCGGCCCAGACCATTTTCCCTTAACATTATGTACAATCATCCGCTTTAAGTAGCACAATATACAAGATATTTGAATCGATTAATCTCATTAACTGCCAAGGGAGCCACTTGCAAAAATTCTTACTACAAAGTTAGACAAAAGAAACACAGAAGGAAACTTAAAACCTTCAATACCAGACCAACATTTAGAACTGTCTACAAACAAAGAGTTGTAGAGAGAGAACAACAAAGAGGAAGGCAAAGCTTCAAATATGTAAAGAAAAATTTTAAAAATTTGGCGGAGATGACATAAAATAGAGGACCAGATGTCAAAAGGGTTGTAAAAAAGTATCACAGTTTTTGTGACAAGTTAGTCAAACAAGCATAAATAGGCACCACTCATAAGATCACAAATCCTTCTTAATTAAGTTTTACTTTCAGTAAGGTTTATGCACCTTTCCATTAACAAAACAATGCTGTTTAACCTAAATCATGATGCATCCTAACAATCACACTTCAAATTTGCCACACCACAAGTGATCTAATGTGTCTGCAAGAGTCAAAGGAAACATGAGGGAAAAACATGTAAAACATGTAATGATTAGCACTTTCCTTACAGAAAAAAAAAATGTGGAGACCCATCTTTTCTACCATGACACATTGTGATCTAGGTGAAAGTTGTGTAAATTGAACTGAGAAGCAGCTGGTGAAAACTGAGAAGCAGCTAAAAAAGTAACAGAAGATGTCACCTACATAAAAGCTGCAACCCCATTTATAACCCATAAAATACAAGGAATAATTGCAATTAAGCATATGTTAGATCTTTACAGCACACAACAAATGTTTCTGTTTCATGCACTTTTAGTTAAGTAACTTGTAGTTGGTTTGTTAATGTCTCAGGTAGGAATTGATCTGCAGTAATTGGAGTATTATTTAAACATACACACAAAAGAAGGGAAGACTAGTCAAGTCAGAAATAGTTGACTGGCAGTGAATGGAAAAATGTTGTCATTTTTTCAGTTACAAGGAGGCAAAAGGAACACAGAAATAAAGCCCTAAGATTTCAAAATATTCCCCCCCCCCTCCCCGCCTATGGTCTAGACCCATCAAATATTTTGATTGAAATTGACACATTTGAAAGGGATCAAAGCAAAGCAACTGATAGAATGTGCATTAGGGAGGCTGGTGAATGTGAAAATAGCTAATAACCTCTTTGATTCAGGTATTCAATATTGGGGCACACATACAACAAAAATAAAGAAGAAGAGCAAAGCCAACACTACAACAGATAGAATCAGTTCCCATTTTAGAGGCAAAGAGGTAAAGATGGCCACTCATGTACAAAGAAATGTGGGTGCTTGGTTTGGTTTGACAATAACCACATAACAGTCATGCATATGGTGATCATGCAAATTTGACACGTACCTCGTTTCCCATCTTCCTCTCTACATTGGGATCAGTCTCCTCTCCAGCTGGTGTAGTGGGCCTGGAGTGACCAGCTGATGAAGGTGTTGATTTAATTCCAGGTGCACCTTTAGCCTTTTTTGGGCTACCCTCTGTTTTAAACAACAAATAAAACACATCTGTTAATGTACAGTTAGCAACAAAGAAAGCAGTCACTTAGACCCAAAAATATGAAAGCATTAAAGTATGAATAAAAACAAACTGCCTTCAATTGCACTAAATGACTTTCACTTCAAAACATTGAAATAATAGACATCCTTAATAAAGGCTAGAGCAAAATCTAGGTCCTTAATAAATGAAGATATGAAAAAAGCCATCTCAAGTATCAGCTGGCCGTATGTTATCATGTTGACTGCAGAATGTCACACAATGTATGACACTTTAAGGTACAAAAGTTAGAGAGTTCACAAATACTATGTTTAATGTGTCAAGTCGCTTGTCCCTATTGCAAAGCACGCAACTCCACGGAGCCTCCGTCAAAGCACGCACAGCGGTCCGGCGCTGGCGAAACCACGCAAAGTTCCTGGGCGCTGGCGAAACCACGTATCGATGTTTTTCAAAAAATCTGAGATAACTATATATTCTGGAAGAGGGAAACGTCCTCTTTCCAACGATGTAGGTCTCAAAAATCACCCCAAAAATCGAGTTGCGTGGTTTCGCCAGCACCGGACCGCTGTGCGTGCTTTGACGGAGGCTCCGCGGAGTTGCGTGGTTTCGCCAGCGCCGGAGCGCCGTGCGTGCTTTGCAATAGGGACAAGCGAAGTGATAAAACACAGCTATTGACTTTCCCTCAACATATTTCAAGTTCACACATGTACATGAGATGCCCATGGTTTCAGCTAAATTCATGGTTCTCACTAATTTTTGTTCTATATTTTTTCATGGCAAGGGTCAGATTTTGTACACTGAGGTGTGTTGTAAAAGGTATGTACAACAATCAGGTACTTGTATGACAGTCCTTCGTCCACGAACCTCACTAAGTTTGAAGCAGTCAGTTACTGCTAATAAAATCAAATTGCAAACAAATGTCACTTAAAACTTTACAGGCATTTTAAAAAGATAGTTGCAACGAAACATCTTATACTGTAGACATATTAAATCTATGCATTTTTTTGTTTTGTTTTTGTTTTTGACTGTGTATAAGATGAATAAGTTTCCACTTCATGTGTATGCAATTTCAAGCTTATTGTTTGCAATCCGCTTACAAAAGAAAAAGCAGAATTGTTTTATCAGTTGTGGTAATACAGTGAGAGTGAGAACAAAACATCATACTCCACTGAAGCAAAAAGAGGTGAAACAGCTGTGAAACACTGTTAATAATTAACTTTGATATCAAACCAATGAGATCAAAATTAGTACTAGGTTTTCCTTTTAGTCATACATGACTTGACTCCAGACTTAAATTAAATCATGAAGCTACTGTTCCTGGTAGTGCTAATATTCTCTACAGAGGCAACCTGAAATATTCAGGAAAAAAAGCCCGAAAAGTGTTCATTTTTATAATGGTTGGAGACTACAAAACTGATAAGCTAACTTACACACGTCTCAAATTAAATAATAAGCATGCAGAAGAAGTAATTAATTAAATTAAGTAGTAGAGACACCAAAGCAAGCTGAACGGAAACTACCTTGAACCATTGCTGCGAGCTTATTAAACCCACAATTATGCCAAGTTTAGCTATTTTATGAATCCCAGTTCATTTTTAAGTCATAAACCAACACATCTAGTACATACATACAAGCTTCACAACCAACCAAAGAAAAAGAAAAAAAAACTAGTCAGCCAATAACATAAATTTACAAAATCCTAAGGAAAACAAAAGAAAACAAAAGAGTAACAAGAGTAAAGAAACTGTAAATTGATGATAGTAATATAATGAAAATAAATATGGTAATTATTTTTTTTAAATGAGAAGAAAATGTGGATCAAGCTAAAGAGCATACCAGGGGATTTTAGGAAGGAGAGATACGAGTCCTGGAATTTGTTCCAGGCGGCGCTCCCTGGTCCGTCCGCAGCATGGCCTTTCTGTGGATCCCCGTTGCTGGCAGAGCCCGGCGTGGTCGGAGGCTGAAGTGGCGAATCACCTCCAGGGCCTCCAGGGCCTCCAGGGCCTGCAGGGCCTCCAGGGCCGCCAGGCCCCCCTCCAGGGCCTTGGCTTACACTAGCGGCACTTGAGGGGGACCCTGACATAGGACCCGGTGTGCCCGAGCCCATGGTTGAGCCCATGGCCGAGCCTGACCCAGCGGGACTAGCCTCTTCCTCATCGTGATCTTTGTTCTTGTGCGAATGGGTGAAGTGGTAAGTTAGTCCCGGCCGCGTCTTGTACCTGGCCCCGCAAACTACGGGAGACACAAACTTGGTTCACTCAAAGGATCAAGAGAGAGAGAGAGAGAGAGAGAGAGAGAGAGAGAGAGAAAGGCAGACAGAGACATGTTTGAAGGTTTGGGAATGGGAAAGAGAGTTTGAGGCCGAAAGTTGAAGGGGGTATGACAAAAAGAGACAATCACATATTTCCCAAAGGTTAACAAGTTACATGCAATAGGGAGTATTGCCCCTAATTGATACTGTAACATGTGTAAAGGCACATCATAATTTTTGGGCAAAATAGTACGCAAGGTACTTGAAAATTTTAAAATGAAAGGTTTATGATATTTTTGTGACCTAGTCTGTACACAAAAGGTCATTGATCATTTCATCCTTATAAGGAAAGGAAAAAGAGACAACTTCAGTGAAAGCCAAAACAACCTCTAAAAACATCTTAAAAACGAGAAACCTCAGCAACGTTACATCAAAAATTTCATTTGAATTTACACATATCTAAATCATTGAAGATGATTTTTTTTAGATATGTGATGGATGTACACAGACTTTGACTAAACAGCAAAATGCAAAGTCGTGTTCCCATGATATTTATCCAGTAAAAACATGCTTCCTAGGGGTTTAATTAACCTTAGACTTGCTTGCAATATAAATAGATACAAAAAACAATAGAACAAACCATTCCCTTACTTTACATGCTTTAGCAACCTACTCCCATAGCACTTCCTTTGCATTCACAATTTTTCAAGCATAACACCAGATTTAGCTCCATCAGGATGTGACAGTTCCTTACAGACTAAAGTTGCCTTTAACATCAAGTTCATATAGTAAAAGACCAATGAAACAGGCAACAGAAGCAATAATTCTAAAAATAAATTGTCTCAAGACACCAATAATACAATTTACTTTTTTCATGCACACAAGCAAATAGAAATATAAAAAATTGGAGTGCAATAGCATTTCTTAAAATGTTTGGGATATTATGAATGTCAAACTTTTTATTCCAGTTAGAATTTTAAATAATTAACGGCTGCAAGAAGCCGGTAATAACACACACAGTCCATCCACAGATTGGACAACCTAACCACTAGGAAATGTCCATTTAAGTTAATGCAGCGGGTTACTTCATGACTTTAGGGCAGATATCATTTGACAACCAGCCTAAATACAAGCTGGAGCAAAAGTAGTCTGTCCTGATGTGTAGTTCTCAATTGAATTCACACACTTCCGTAGGTCAAAGACAAGTGTACAATTTAAATTCTCTTGAAAGTTAGAATTAAAAAGTAAAGAAAACATCCTTGATTTAAAATGGATAGAGGAAAGTTATTCAGAACTTATGATAGTGGCAAAACTAATTCACAAAGAGGGGCTTTGCCATGTAGCTAAGCATGACCACAATACAACAACACTACAGTATGTAGTAGATAGATATCATTACCCAGTACAACTTCTTATATCCAAGACATCTGATCGTATTAAATCTCAAGATTAATTGAATATTGTAAAGATAGTTTTTGTAGGTACATATCAAGTTGATGTGTAAGTAATGAAAAGAAATACTTTCCACATGCAAATTTTGATGACTGCTTAACTGCCTAGCATGTAACATATGGGTAGATAGAATAGCTTGACTTAGATAAAAAGCAATATGAACCAGAAATGTTACAAATTGTCCATCTAATACAAAGTCTAACCAGATCACATGCTTTCCTGAATACAACCATGAGAAACGGCTGCCCTTCCTCATGGTAAAAGGAACCAAGACACCAGATTACAGCCATCTATCTACTAATGACACATGCATTTTAGAAGAATGACAGATTATGAATGATTGCAGTCTGATAAGGCATGGAATCTCTTAAAAGTACTTCATTAGGTCCCAATGTTTTTCTTCTGTTTAGTTATATTAAATTTAAAAGAGCAAAGATGGAAAGAGAAATAGCTGAACAATCTTTATAACAATGACAGAGCCAATCTTATAAAGTTGTTAATGATTACCAATTGCAATTGTGTCATTTTCATTCAATAGTAGGCCAAAATAAAGCAGGTGAGCAGGGCTCTGGAAGATTAAAAATCTAAACTCATAACATGCACAAAATTAATTACATGCACAGTTTCTTCAAGTTTAAGAAAAAAAACTTTAAATAACAATCCACAAAGTTACATCCTTTCACTTTACTAAATCACATTCCTGTTGCTTGGATGCTCAGTGCACCAGAATGATTTAACGAATTGTTTGCCAATAATAGCCATAACTGAAAATCATTTGACAGTTATAGCAGAAAAACTAAGGGCCGTCATTCAATAAACAGAGAAACAATAATTTGTTTGTTATCAATTTCTGACATTTTAAACAGAACTTTGCAATAACTGTTGATGCAAATTCAAACAAACACATCAGTATATCCACAAACCAGCAGTAATCTGTGACCAAACCAACACCATCATCTTAGACCCCAAAATCCACCACCACTACGTTAAAAAGCAAAACACAACAAGCAATTTCAGTTTTAATGCCAAGTAATAGTGCAAAAAGGAAAAGTATCATGGCATATGAAATTTTAAATGTTCTCTTCTGATCTAGGTAAATATCATTTAAATGAATCAGTTGATCAGTTGCTAGGGAGTGCCAGAAGTGACATTCACAAAGAACTAGAGGGGATGCTACTTGATTCAAAGTTGAAATAACATCAATAGCAACAGAAATAAATACTCAGGGTTTATTTAGTTTTTGTTTTTCTCAAATTATTTGAAAACTTGTTGAATTAGGGCTTGGGGATCAGATAATGTAAGAGATACAAACTAACTTTCTTAGATTGCATTGATAATTGAAAATGGAGAACTACTAGCTATTAAATTCAGGGTCACTATTCCATTCAAGGGGCAATCCATGACAAAATCTTCCTTTGTACTTGACAGAGGCAGTGTTGTTGCTGCAGTTTTATCTTACATATCACATTGTTAAATACACCATATGCGCTCTTGGTATTAAGAGGAGAAGTAAAGAAATCAAGTCCTCCACCAGGACCAAAATCTCAGCAAAAATGAATGCAAATATGCTTTGAAAGTTAGTAGAGAAGTTCCAAGTGATTACTATACAGGACAATATTGTATTAGTTGTGAAATGGTTTTAATTTTAAGACAATCCTGGTCCCGATTTCTTCTATAAATGCAAAGAGCATACATGGTCTGTTTAACCATGACATCCCTAGGGCAGTTAAGATTCAGCACTATAATATTCTCCCCTAAATATGAAAGTAAAGGCAACTTACTATCACAGCCGAAAGGCTTCTCAGGGTCCGATGGATCCGGATACACAGTTGGTGTTTTCTTCCTACCTCGACCAACTGGCTGCTCAGCAGAAAAGAACAAAGATAGGGACACACTTAGACATAGAACGTAGATGTAATAATAAGTTTTACTGGTAAAATAAAAAAATTACCTTGGCTTTTTTGTTGTGAGGTGAATCTGTTGTAGATCCTCTGGCAGGTTTAGAATTTCTTTTCTTTTTTTTCCTGTAGGACTCTTCATAATCATAATCGGAATCAGGATCAGGTTCATCAAATCCATCCATGTCGTAGATATCATCTTCATTGATGTACCATTCCTGAAAGATTAATTAAGAATGCAATTAGGATAAGAAGATAATAAATATCAGTATTACTTCAATATTTGAAAGTTTAAATTAGACTCATGCTCACCTTTGGATCTTCTTTGATACTGTCTTTGCTTGCCTCATCATTCACAGAAACTGCAGCAGGATTTTCTACCGTGCTAATGGTGTGGAAATGCTCTCCTGCCTCATCTCCAGCCTCCTTAGCAGGCATAACTGTACCACGACGTGGTTGAAGAAAATGTGAAAGGTATTGCCTTCGCTTTTTCCTCCAGCGCTTGGATGGATAGGTGTAGATTTGACCTTGCAAGAATCCAGGAAGACGATGTCGGGATGTCATGAATAGATTGGAATGGTTTTGTGCCACGCCTGGAAATATTAAGTTTAAAATTATACATAACAGAAACGCTACAAACCAACAAGTGGTTGAGAAAAAGGTGGAGGCAATCACCTGTTTGAGAATCCAAGAACGGCATTCGCAGTCTTCTTTCGATGCATAACCGGGTGTTGTAGTTGACGGAGCTCTCCACTGTCTCTCTGTACTGGGAGTCATTGAGAAAGCTGGAAGTACAATTAATTATGATCAGAGTTAAAATAGAAATTGAGCTCTACGTCTGTCTTTCACAACAGGGGGCGGAGGTAGCGACGCGAAAATGGTCAAAAGTGAATTTCACGGACAATTCAGCGATTGAGAAGAAAGCGACACAATCCGGTCATGTTTGGGATGCAGAAGCTAGATGCTGAATTTTCAAGTAAGATACTAGCGTCTACTATGCTCAAAAACTTAAGGACCCCGGTAACAAGCAGGTGCACAATCGCACAAACTTAAGTTAAATGCTTTTAAAAAACTGATCTAGAACGCAATACCTTTCAATTTTCTCTAATAAAGAAGAGCTAGACGATTCCGTAGCACACGACGCCATGATGGAGGCTTTCTCGCCTGTCCGGCTCAGTGTTTTGTTTGGTGGGAGAAAAAAAATACTAGACAACTGACCAACCTAACCATCTTCTTGCAAACATGTAAACATGTACATTCTGTCTATTTCTATGATTTTTTTCTTCTTCTTTATTTAAAAATCATCTGCATTTTAAAAAAAGAGCAAGAATGTTTCCTATGTATATTATATGCAGTTTGCAAGAAAGTGTCTCTTCGGTTTCCAGCAGTTTGCAGTGCTTGCCTTCAAATTATGCCAAATCGCCAAATCCACGCCCAAAATCAAACTGATTAGAACACAAAGCAGACAATTTATCTGTTCCATTTTCGGAGGTTACTCCGAGAACATGTTCTCTCGTCTAGCTAAGCTTGAAAATCTAAAAGAAATTAAGTCGTTTTCCATGGAATGTATTGTTGCTAGCTTCTTGTAGGGCACTGGGGAACAGTGGAAGTGGAGGGGGTAGGGCCAGTAACCGCTGGAAATACGCAATGTTGTTGTTGCTGGAGTAGCATAGCATCTGGCTGGAGAAAATATTCCACATTCCAATCCATTGCCCCTCATCAGTGTGAAATATTTCCGTCATGGAGATTCTCGCGATGCCTAGAAAGTTTTTACTGGTGTTGCAAACAGTCGTGGCAATGGCAAGTTCACCGTGAATCAAGACTGAACAAACTCAACAGGTCGGAAAGTGCGTTACTCGATGTGATCAACGCTCTGAAGATGAACATTTTAGAAGATTTGAGTACATTACAGTATAAAAATTATGGAATTTGACACCTTTTTGAAATGGTGGAAGTGCTTTCTTGTGAAAACCGTTGGAATGCCTTGGGATGTAATTAGGCTGAGTGCAGATCCTATGGCCTGGATCCAGTGCATTGGAAAACATCTTGCTATGTAGCTTTTCTGAAAGTGTTTCAAATACTGCTTGGTGGTTGCCCTTATCATGGTATCTTGAAAAAGTTACACAGCATCCCCTAGTCGAGAATCATGCATCCAATCAGAAGACGGAAAAAAAGACCCAACTATGGAGTGAGGACAGTGGAGGTTAGACGGGGAAAGAATGGTTTTGGATTCACTATATCAGGTCAGCAACCATGCATTTTAAGCTGTATTGTTGCTGGTAGTCCAGCAGAAACAGCTGGATTAAGGGCTGGAGACTACCTTGTTGCTGTTGATGGAAGAAGCGTCAGTAAGATGCCTCATGATGATGTTGTTAGATTGATTGGATGCTCATCAGGAGTACTAAAACTTCAAATAGCAGAAAATTATTATTCTGATAGCTCAGATGATGATGTTATACCTGTGAGACCTAAACCAAAATATATGCACAAACCTCGGAGTAGTGGACATCAGCAGCAGCATCAGCAACCCCGTCAAGGAACAGGACCAAATCAACAGAATCGTATTGCAAAAGTTGTACATGATCTGAGAACAGGCGCAATGTTTGAGGAGAGCCTTGTACAACCTTCTGTGTGTGTCATCACGGACTGGAGTCCCCCGCTCATTGCTCCAACACCTCCTCCTAGGGCCTACCAACAACTCCCTTCTGAAGCTGAAGATATGGAAGTACAGCAATTTGTCATTGGGTACTTAGGAACTATAGAAATCCCTAAACAGCTACAGCCAGGATCTAAATTACAGGTGAGATACTATTCAGATGTTTCTTCTATGTTTCTGCCTCATTGAAATGCCCAGTAATGTTGGTAGCTCACTTCTCATGGTCAACTTTCTTTCATGCGGAGACTTAAATGCTGGAGCTATACCCATATGTTGGACAGCGATTCACATGTAACAGAATTTATTTGAACATTGTGGTGCTGTTCCCCCTAAATAAAAGAGCAATTAAAAGAAAATTGTGGCTCAAAATATTTTAGAAAGCAATGACAAAATTAAATGTTAAGTTTAGTTTGAGGATGGGGTAAAAGTCACTGGCGGGTACAGAGAGCTAACAGTTCCCTTTCTTTTCCATCTCCATTTCCTCTGGCTGGTCTTTGATCGTGCCAAAGTGTAATATAGCACGGCTACATGTGCACACATATGACGTGTTTTGTTGTTGTTTCAGATTGTGTGCGCGTGCGTGCGGAAGCTGCGGGCTGAGAAGCGTTCTCCTACCCCCGTGGTGCTCCGCGTCCTGGCGACATCCGTCCGGTTGGTGGACGCGCGCGCCACCCCCGGGGCCCCCGGGGCCTCCCTGGCCGAGTATCCCGCGGCCCGCGTCCTGTACTGCGGGGGCGGGGGTGGCAGCAGTCCGGACGGAGACCGGCGGCACTTTGGGCTGGTCACGTCCACGCCCCCCGTGGCCGAGGCGGACGAGGCCGGGGCCCTGGGAGGCGCCCCCGAGCAGCAGCAGCAACAGTCGTCGAGTGCGTGCCACGTGTTCGCCGTGGACCCCAAGCAGGCCCCACACGAGGAGCACGCCTCCAGGGCCGCCACGCTGAGCATCGACTGCGGGGCAGCCGGGGCGGAGTGTTACGCCTTTCCACGGACATCGGAGCCCGTCCTGCGCGCTGTGCAGAGGTTGTACGCCGACCGGGAGGAGGCCCGTGGCCTGGGCCCGGGGGCGGCGCAGCTGGCGCAGCCCGGGGAGCTGTCCGCTTCCCCGCACCCGAGCCACGCCGGCTCGGCCAACTCGAGCAACAGCGACTCCGGCATAGGGTTCCGGGACGACAGCGGGCACCAGTCGGACCGCAACGACCCGCTGGGGATCCTGATGGTGGACCTGGAGCACCGCAGGCTCCACGTCCAGGGACAGGCCGGTCAGGCCGCCCTGCTCTTCCCCCTCCCCGCCATCCCCCTCGGGGTGCACCACCCGCTCCCCGAGCCCGTGCCGGACCGGCGCCTCGCCGTGAGGGCCATGCCCGACCCTCATGTCCAGGTGAGTCCACCAGGCCGGAGCACTCGGCGGCGCCCAGTTCGCCAGAGCTGTGGCTGTCATGGCTTTCCCTGTTTCAGGACAACGTCTGCTGCCCCCTTGACGGCGTCAACAAGACGGACAGCGCCAAGCGCGCTGGTCGCAGCGTCCGCGAGCGGGCGGCCGCCGCGCGCTGCTTCGCCAGTCTCGACAGCGTGGCGGGCGTGGCCCACTCGGCCGACGACCTGAGCGAGCTGCTCTCCTACAAGCTGAGCCCCAAGGTTTTCGGCGTGGCGCGCCAGGGCTCTCGCCAGGGCCCGTCGTCCACGACCGCCACGCACAGCCTCGAGGACCTGACCCTCGCGGACCCGCTGGACCTGGACCCGCCGCATGGCCATCTGCACGGCCTGCACGGCCACGCGCCGCAGTGGGGCCACATGGGCCATGGGCTGGGCCACATGGGCCACGGGCCGCTCACCGGCAGCCTGCAGGAGCTGCGCTCCTTCGTGCTCAGCAGCTACGAGGACCCCCACTCCATGGCGGCGCCCCTCGCGGTGAGTACTGGTGCAGGGTGCTCTATGCTGCCCCCTCAGGACCGCTTCCTGCCGGGCGAACAACGAGACTCAGTCAGTGTTTAAGTATTTCGGGGGGCGCGTGCGGGACCCCGCGGGCCGGAAGAGGGGCGCTACGTGAGGGAGGCGCGGGGCGGGCGAGCCTCCTCCCCAGCGGTCCGCGGGGGAGCGGAAGTCGAAGACAGGCGGCCCGGCCCTCCCGGGCAAGTGGGCTCGGCACGTGACTACACTTGCGCTCGCCTCCTTGGCGAGTGAATGAATGCAGGCTGCCTGGGGCGTGGCGGGGCGTGGCGGCGGCGCTATGTGTCCTGTGTGTGAGGCGCCCGGCCCGGCCGCGCCCGCGCCTCCCGACAGCGCGAGCGTGACTCAGGCTCGGCGTGGCGCGGCGGTGCGTCGCACCGATGCCAATGGGATGGTCTGGATGGGATTGGCTCGAGTGTTTGGACCTCCTCGGGTCATCTGACATCAGTCTCGTCCAGTCTTCCGCCCAGGACGCACGCGTGCATGGCGCGCCGCCCGCCCCGGCGTGCTTGAGCAGCGTGTTCCTCGGAGGCGGCGCACTGTGTGCTGTGCCAGACCGTTACGAGGCCAAGGTCACGCGGTACCTTGTGCCGCCAAGGCCCCGTCGCGAGGGTCCTCCTGGCCCTGGCCGCGGCGCTCCCGCAGTCGCCAGTCGTCATCGTGGTCGCGCCGCGAGTCGTCGCCGTGCCTTCCTGGCGCCCGTCGCGCTCAAGCAGTGCGCCGGGGCGTTCCTGTGCGTGCGAGTGAGCGAACGCGTGTGACTCAGCCGCCCCCACCTCCTCCGCACGCCGTCCATCGCGGCCGCCAGAGCAGCACTTGTTCTGACGAGGAGCTCTGTCGCCGGCCGTCTGCCGCGGCCTCGACCCGGACGGATGAGCGCGGGCGCGGGGAAGGCAGCACCGCGTCGCTCTCGGGGCGTCTCACCGAAGCAACCCCCGCAGCTCCCGACGGCCCTGCTTGCGCGGCCCTCCCGCTCCGTCCCCGGCCGACAGTCTGCCCGATTCAAGTCGCGGGTCTGCGTGGCCGTGGGGGCGGGGCCGCGGGGGACTGGCGGCGCGGCGGCCGCCGGCGGGTCCCGGGGAGGCCCGGCGGCACCACCCGCGGCCGCGGCCCCGTCCCGCCCCGTGCAGTGGACGTTCACGGTGGCGGTCGGGGCTCCGGCCTGGGCCTGGGCGCTCCGGCCGGCCTGGATGCGGCTCCGTTTCGACCGCCTGCACTACCGCAGCCTGCCCGTCCGCCTCAAGGGCGCCGGCAGTAGCCAGTTGCGTAGCGTAAGTACGGCTTATACATGTCCTCGCACGCGGACGTCTAGCTTCTTCACACTCAACACTGGATTTCGCAGCCGCAGCCCCCCTCCTGCTTGCTGATTCAGGCTTCACGTACTGCCCCGCTTCACTTACTATCTCTTGTCCCGCCTGGCTCATGGCACTCCCTCCCCCCTCTCCCTTTTGCCTGTGGGAACACGCGCCTCACTCGCCTCGTCGCCTTCCTGAATGGTGCACACGGGGACCGTCCATCCCGGTCCGCTCCGAGGGAAGTCCCCCTGGCTGTGAGCCAGCCTCTCCTCC